AATCGCGCGATTCGCAAAGTCTGACATCGGTCTAAATGGTTACCTATTCGCCAGTATGCTTAACGTTGCGAATGTTGTGCTTAGCGAGCTTGGAACACAAATTTATATACCATAAACGAAAAGCTCTTTTGGCTGGGGGTGTAATGTAAACTTAAAAGATGCCGAGGGGTGCTGGCCCGGGTCGCAAACGGAGTCCATATGTACACCAATGGGAATTCCTTTATTAGTCTCATGAATGATCAGGTCTCCATCGAGAAAACGCGGAACTAAATACTTGGATTTCCGAAGGAACTAGCACAGCTGAAACCAGGTAAATCGAATTCAAATTCTTAGCTCAGGGGAGAATGAATCTGATCGACCGCGACTTGTTCCTCTCCGTTGGTTTTCGTTTGTGTGAGAGTAAAAATCCAAGAACAATGCTATTCACCATAGAATTTGAAGGACATGGATTCACTTACAAGACGGTGAGCCGGCAAAAGAATTGAATTTTATGCAAGCTTGATGAACAGCACGTTTGAACGACTTTGGGTCGTACAAATATTGGTCACCCAAAAGTCTAAGTCGATAGCAATGGATCACTCAATGGGGAGACGTGCGTTTCTCCTCCTGGGGTCAGGCCACCACAGTTGCGCGATCATTGAAGCTTAGGTTAAGTTTGGTTGGCTTACACTTAATTATGCCTAAGCCTATGATTGGGCCTAGGCTTAGTCCTAAGCTTGCTCCGAGCGAATGAACGGCGTCTCAATTTTAGGTGACCTGACCCCAGGAGGAGAAACGCTACGCATTCCCAAAACGATGAGATGAAATTTTGAAGGATGTGATACGGGCAACTGTCAGCTTCTGTACGGTTCGTTCGAAGGAAATTGCCAAGCTCGTGCAGACATTTTGATCCAAACTCCCAACAACTTTTCGGTAGGACATGGTCAGACGTTGCTATAGCTTTCCAGTTTCGACCTTACTGGTTCCAACTAGGCCACGATTATTTTGTCACCAAATTCACACTATGTTTTGCGATGGACAGAACATTGGGGAGGAAGCTCCGCCCCTTTTCAACCGTCCTGAGCGTTTCTACTCGTCCCTCAAGAAACAGTTTTCACTGACTCAGATAGCAGCTGACCTTGTAAGTCGCTGAGGATATCAACTATCTAATCAAAAGCCATCGCGATCCTGAGTTAAAAGTAAAAACGCGATAAAACGGATGTAAAGAAAGAGAAAAATGATCAGAGGAAAGGGCAGAAGGGCGCGCCCAAGTAGACGATGGGTAGTGCTTCCATGGCGTAGGGAGCGCTACCAACGGCATGATACGGTGCCTAATGTGCCAGAAGAGTCCTCCCGGTTCCCATCAGATACGCACACCGCCGGCATGTGGAAGGGATGATGACAGCAATGCATTTGAAATGGGACTGTCACCCCACCGTTCCATTTTCTTTTCTAAACGCAATCTTGCACTGGGCGTCAAGTCAGCAACTCCATATTGGATCGGCCGTTGGAATGATGCCAGTGTTTAAAATCTAAGAATCTTGTATTCATGCTAATATTTAGTAAAACAATTACGTAAACATTCAGATTTATCCAAGCACCTGGCAAACGAAATGTGGCTTATAAATGCTCCATAACCAGAGATAAAAGAGGAGTCGACAAAGGTATTTATCCAACATACTACCTTCATCTAGAAAGGGAAGACAAAAAGAAGGTAACGAATCATAAAATTAGGTCAGCGCCACTAAAGAATTATCATTCTCTTCTCCACAGATTTTCCTTCTGGCAGCTCGACGGCGAAAGAAAAGCACAACAGCGAACTATCTCATATCAACTGACGCTACTGATTTGAAAAGGGAAGGCACAGCGTTCGTGGGTAAAGTGAGGTAAGTGCGGTCTTCAGGGGAATTCTTCATATAACTAGACTTGATGAACAGTAGGACTCGACAGCATCAGAATAAATGGAAAAATCAAAGGGAAAAGTTGGTCGGTCACTCTCAGGGTGCACCACGCATTCCAGTTTCATTTCAGGAATCAAGTAACGTATTTGGTGCCGGTATGGTCTAGGCCATGGCCTGCGGGGGCACTCAATGTACTTTCTGCTAGCATCCTTCTCGTAGAAGTCTGGGGCCAAGTAACGTACGCCGAGGAGTAGAAGACATGGTTGGCCTATAACATATTTAGCCCCCTCACCGTGGGGATGGAAAGTAGCCTTCCCACTGCGCCTCCCAGTACGCCAAATAAACGAAATGACCAAAACAGGCAGAGATCAGAATTTGTATTGATAAATCATCCTGATCGGCAACTGATTTGATCTACCTCGCCTTCAAATGACCAGAAATTGTGCAATTGCAGAAATTGACGTGGCATTGGCACACGTGGCTAAATTCTCGATGAAAAGGTGACATCACGTGTGCTCAAAGATGTTCTTGAATCCACGTTAATGCCACGTCAATTTCTGCAATTGCACAATTTCTGGTCATTTGAAGCGCGAGGGTATATG